TCAACTAGAAATGATATTTTCATGACAATTTGGATAGGGACTTAGACTCTATTAAACTGAAAATTCATAATTTCCAAGATTGAAACAATCTTGAGGCTTATTTGGAGTAGGAGAAAAAGGTTAATTGGAGTTTTAATTGTCATAGATATTCTGAACAAAAAAAGATGAAGTTGGTGGTCATTAAATTTATAGATTATGCATTGATTTGATAAGATCAGATTATGATTAGTATGATAAGGAATAAGGAGCAACTTATAGAAATGGGGAAAAGATGAAATTCTTGATGAGAAAGAGTTTTGTTCCTGATTACTATTATAAGGATCTATATATGAAGCTATAAGGTTTTAACTTAAGGTTCTAAGACAATAGATGATTATCATAATGAGATAAAGATTGAAGTGATTTAGGTCAATATTGTTGATGATGGAGAATCTATCATGGCTAAACTTTTTAATAGGTTGAATATGGACATTACCAATGTTTTGTAGTTACAACATTATGTGAAGTTGAAAGACATGGTATATATAGCAATAAAAATGAAAGGACAAATTAAAAGAAGAGGTAATGTAAAACATAAACCAGTTCAACATCTTTTTCATCAATTTGGAGGCCAAATATAAAGATAGAAGTGGTCACTCAACCGAAGTCCTTTATATATGCTAAGGCTAAACTACCTAAGGCCAATAATAAGACTCATACAGATGAGGAAGGTAAAACCAATTCACAAACTATGTGTAATTATAATATAACTTGTTTCAAGTGTTTGGAGAGTGTACACATTGCTTTTTAATGTCCAAATAAAAGAACAATGTTCATAAAGCATGGTAGGTGAGATTGAATCTAAAAGTGAAAAATATGATGGTGATGAAATGTCACCTTTGAAGGATTGCAATGATGTAGAGATTGCATATCCAGTTGAGGAGGAGACCTTGGTTATAAGGCATATTCTGAATGCACAAATCAAAGAGTATGATGTAAATCAGTAAGGAAGAATATTTTTCACACTAGATGACATATCCAAAACAAAGTATGTGATATGATAATTGATAGAGCCAGTTGTGCTAATGCAACTAATATTACTCTTGTTATAAAATTTAATTTGAATACTATAAAACATCCTAAACATAATTGTAGTGGTTAAATGAATGTGGTTAGGTGAAAGTCATTAAACATGTGTTAATTTTCATTGCTATTAGTAGATATTTTGATGCTGTTATATATGATATGGTTCTAATGCATGCTAGTTATTTATTTTTAAAGCATCTATAATAGTTTGATAGGAAGGTTATTTATGATGGATTTAGAAATAGATACATTATTGTAAAAGATGGTAAAATTATCACTTACGTGACTCTGTCTCTAAAATAAATGTATAATGATCAATTAAAATTAAAAAAAAAAGTGAGGTTTGGAAGAGTGAAAATTCATGTGAGGAAAATTATGGGAAAACACCATCAGATTTGGCTAATTTTAAATCAATAATTAAACTAGTTGAGTATAGAGATAAGACCCGAGGAATGAAGAAATTAAATGTGAGTGATGATCATTGTTTGGAAAAATTAAGAAAACCACCAAGTTTCTATGCAAGAGATGGTGAGATCAAATAAATGTTTTATACTAACAAGCCAATGATTTTACTTGTGTATAGGAGACTTACTTTAATACTAACAATCTTGGTAATATAATTCCTCGTGTGGTTGTTTCTTTATTGCCAAAGTTGATGATGTATTTCATGAAAACATTCCTCGTTGATTACCATTATTGAGGAGGATAAAACATCATATTGACCTTGTACCTAGTGTCGCGGGGTACGAGCCGGCACGACGTTGTTTGACGATGGCGAAGGTTTTTTGTCGTGCCTCCAGTGTGAGGTGTTATGTGTTGGAAAAAGGTTTTGGATTTAATCATAAAATTATGATTAATGTTTAGGAGTCGTCACCTAGTATTATGGTTACTAGAAACCTATGGTCTGCGAGAGTCTAAGTAAGGGACTGGTTGTTGACATGACTAAAAGATTGATGTCTTCTCCTAAGTGCAGGAGTGTCGAAGTAATAAATAACCCGGCAAGACCAGGGTCGAACCACAAGGAGGTTAATTGTACAAATTATAAATAACAATAATACAACAACAATAATAATAGTAATAACAATAATAATAATAACAATAATAATAATAATAATAATAATAATAATAATACTACTAGTAGTAGTAGTAGTAGTAGTAATACCAATAATAATAGTAATAATAATAATAATAATAATAAAGATAAAAAAAAAGAAGAAGAAGAAGAAGATGAGAACTTTGAGATGGAATATTAATGTAACGATTAAACAATGATAATAACAAATGTCAAGGTTAGAGGATCCACTAATGGTATGACAAACAAATATAGTATAAACTCTTATTATTCAATTGGAAACCACATAAAAAGGAGGTTCCAATCAGATTATAGATTGTTAACATGATTACATTAGTCATCTTATTTGATTAATGCTAATACTTGTAAATCTCGTCAAGCATTCATGATTATAACTGATGTTAACAACAAATCAAATTCCTTTCATAGCTTAGGTGTCAGTTATACCATACAGTATGGGCTATGAAAGTGCCAAGAATTTGTTGTACCAAGTGTTATACAACATAAATCAAGGTTAGTCATTTAACAAGCAAAGTATTAAAGAGTAAACAAGATAACAAATACAAAACATGTTAGTATCAAACATTAAAGTCCATATTAAGTTTACACTATACTTATTCTTACACCATTAGTGTAACCTTTTCACTTTAACATAATAAACTTAGCTATACATAATGAAAGAAAGAAAAATAAATAAACAAAATAAGAACATAAATAAGATAAAAGTTAACTAAGTAAATGAAAGGCATAAACTTAATATTAATGAAAGCAAAGCATAAACATTACAAAAAATACAAAGAGAGAAAGCAATGATCTTGATCTGGAAACCAAGATACCTAAATGCAAGGAAAATGCCTCCTTTTATAGGCCAAAATTGGGAACTATTGATTTGATGACTAATTGATGAGTAGGTGGTCAACTCTTGACTTGGTGACAATCCTTATCTTCTCTTGTTTGCCCAAAACTTCATTGATAATGTGAAATTAGAGCCACTTGAAAACATAAAAGTTGTAGGAAATTGTCTCAGCTTTCTTGTCTAAAAAGTTTAGCTCATTTGGACTTCTAGAACTCCAGATATGGGCCAAAAACCAAACAGTGCTCGGGCTGGAAGACAGATTCAGACTTCTTTGTTGTTGCTATAATTTGGACTTGAAAAAACTTTTTAGATCTTGGGCTCTGTATGAAAGTTGTAGGCCCATGTCTTACCTTTCCATCCATATAAAGTAAACCTAAATCTGAGATCTACAGCTCCAGATATGACCCAATTACCGAACAGTATTTTAGTTTAGATTGCACCGACATCTCTTTTCTAAATTTGGTCATCTCTTTGTCCTTTCAATTTCAGTTCTTAAATTTATTAATCAATCCTTTCATTTATGTGATAGGGTTGCATTTAAAATGAATATTTACCATAAATTAAAGGTATCTTATATTATTAGATATATTATTATAAAACATGCTTTAATTAAGGAGTTATTGATACTTCAAGTGCAAAATAATGATATAAAACCTTGATAAAAATGCACTTTTAAGTACTAATCACACCCCTCAACCAGTTTATTACTAGTCCCTAGTAATCAAAGCGTCAACATAGAAAGACAATTTTTGTTCTAATGTTTAAGGTTAACTTCCTTGGGTTGGGATTATTATTTTTTTTCTCTTTTTTTATTTTTAAATATATATACATATAACTTAAAACATCATGCATCTTTAACTCATATAACGAGCTTTGAGCTAATGACTCCCAGACCAGTTGGTCTTAGGGCATTAGGTGTTGAGACACCCCTACGAGCTTAGTAACTCGGGTCGCAAATACTGATACGTAGATAGTGCAATGTTTGATTCCCTTAAGCTTTTCTCCTCAACCCGTGTAACAAGTATTGAGTCAATAGCTCCCAAGTTAGTTGACTTTAGGGTATTAAATGTTAAAACACCCCTTCGGACTTAATTGCTTAGGTTAGGAAGGCTACGAAACCAAACTTATCTACATTTTTATTATCATCATTTTTTTTTGTTTTTTTTGTGTTTTTTTAATTATATACTATCCCTTTTCCCTTAGTTGTTACCTTTAATAAAAGAACATAAATAATGTAATAATCCAATATGCAACCCACAATCATATGTTAAAGTGTGTGTGTAAATTAAGGTTTAAGAATACATGTTAAATGAGTATATGAGCATAATTAAGTGATATGAATGCGAGAGTTTATAAACCTGAATATTTCAAGAAGTATTATGATAGACCTTATTAAGAATGGTTACTAAGATGCGTCTCAAGAGTCATAAAAAGATCTCTTTTACTCTACCATCATAGTAACAACAATTTTGCACATGCTTTATGAAATAGAAAACATATTTATTTATTTTTATTTTTTTTAGCTACTACCCTCTCTACCCCCCAACCAAAACGAGACATTGTCCTCAATGTTCTAAGGTAGAAAGATAGAGTATAGAAGATATCACCTGAAATAACAAACACTGACAAACCTGAAACACACTAAAACAAATATAAGAAACAACAAAAAACAATAATAAAACCAAAAGACACAAAGATTCACAAATGAAGGCTCAAATCTAATTTAAGGTTTTTACGGCTTTCCTTAGATGATCAATTTATACGACTCATGGAGGGATCAATCATGGGAATGAAAGATTGTAGTTGGTCAATCAATTGTTCAGCAGTAGCAGCAGAGATTATGATTTTTCGTGCAGAAGATGTTAGAAATTCCTCTTCCACAGCATGATCAAGAAAAGTCAATAACTTATCATAATAACCATTAACATTTAACAAACCTATGGGTTTATGGTGAATGTGTAGTTGGGTCCAAGAGGAAATATGAAAGATCTCTTTCAATTGTCTCAGCTTTCTTGTGTAAAAAATTCAGCTTATTTGGACTTCTAGAACTCCAGATATGGGTCAAACACTGAACAGTGCTCGGGCTGGAAGACAGATTCGGACTTCTTTCTTGTTGCTATAATTTGGACTTGAAAATAGCCCTTTTAGATCTTGGGCTCCATATGAAAGTTGTAGGCCTATGTCCTACCTTTCCATCCACATAAAGTAGACCTAAATCTGAGATCTACAACTCCAGATATGACCCAATTACCGAATAGTATTCCGGTTTGAATTGCACCGACATCTCTTTTCTAAGTTTGGTCATCTCTTTGTCCTTTCAATTTCAGTTCTTAAATTTATCAATCAATCCTTTCATTTATGTGATAGACCTGCATTTAAAATGAATATTTACCATAAATTAAAGGTATCTTATATTATTAGATATATTATTATAAAACATGCTTTAATTAAGGAGTTATTGATACTTCAAGTGCAAAATGATGATATAAAACCTTGATAAAAATGCACTTTTAAGTACTAATCAGTTGTGTAAGGGGAAGACGCATCACCCCCAATTCATCCTACCTAATGTAAGCTGCATTGTTGTTTGATTTTTTGTTCTGAGTAAGGTATCTGTTGGTCTTTTCTAAGGCTCAAAACAGATTTATCTTCGTGAGAGAGTCTCTACTTTATTAGGTTAAATCATAATCGTTCTAAAGTCTTAATTTTAGCATCGTATTTATTTACATCTTGTATCTTTAATACCTCAGGGTGTATTTTATCGTGTAATTTTACACCCCATAAATATTAAAGACTACATCTGGATTAAAACAAAAATTGAAAAAAGATTTTTTTGACATGTTGACCAAATCCTAATGGATAATTATAAACTGGTTACGATATCCATTTTTGGATTTTTTTTTACATGAAAAAGATGCAATTTTTGTTTTTTATGAAAAATATGCTTGGAAAAATTTCAAGATTTGGCCTATGCAACAATTTTTTTTTTGAAAATGAAAATTGAATTAAAAGTTTTTTTTTTAGATTTTTTTAAAATGTTTTGAATTTTTAATAATTTTGGAGGAAACCAGGCATTTTAATATCGAATTTATATTTTACAATGTAAATACATAACCCAATATTATGCAAAATTGGTATAAAAATATGTTAGAAAATCACAATTTTTTTTAAATGATTTTTTTTGAAAGTTTTTAGATTTTTTTTTTTTAAAGAGAGAGCATAGTCCACTGTATGAATAGTGAAAATAAATTATAATTCACATTCATTGTTCACTTATGAATAGTAGAATGTGAATTATAATTCATGTTCAACTGTTCAAAACAGTGGAACTTCACGGGAAAGATGAAGTACCAGGGAAAGGGTGGCAGACCACCTGGCGTGGCGGTGATGGCTAGCTGGCAAGGGAGGATAACCTAAAGCCAGCGGTGGAAACGATGGTGAAGTTGGTTGGAGCAGCTGCAGGTGGAAGAGGAAGAAAAAGAAGAAAAAAAGCGCATTGGAGGGGCTGTATAGAGGAGAGAGAAATCGACGGTGGTTCTTGGTGGTCAGCTGGTGGTTGAGTAGGCTTTCTATGGTGGAGATAATGGTGGAAAGACAGGTGGTGATGGTGGTGGTGGCTGAAGGCCACGAATAAGAGAGAAAGAAAGAAGAAAATTTACAGAAACCGATAGAAAAACTAGTTTTTTGGCTAAATTTGGACCCAATTTTCTCCTCTCTCAGGCCATGAAATCCATCTCTATTTATCAGCCGTGGAAGATGAAAATCTTGTCTATACTGGGGAAAAATTTAAGCCTTTGATTCAGTTGGGAAGGATCTCAACCGTTGGCGCAAAGTAGGTATCATGAGTTACAAATTTGCGGATAAAATCTGACTGAGTTGCCCTCTTTAGGCTGTCACCAGAGATGATTTATTGTCATTTAGCCTAAACTGATCACATGGTGTCATAGAAAAAGTGCAGAGGATCATTTTTATATAAGATTTGTCAAATTTAATGGATGTTAGGTACATTAAATATTGTTGCAAATTGAATAACTGGATCAGCTTTTTAAGAGAAAAAAATGAAGATAATGAACAGTGTCGATTCCTGTTTTTGCCAAAGTTCATTTCAGTCCTTCCTCTTTTAATTTCTTTCAATTGAAACCTAATTGACCTTAAAATCTTTTTATTTAATGCAATTTAGCCCCTAATTTCAATCAATTAACTTAGTAAAAATTAAATTTGGTCTCTTAAAATTTCAATCTTCTAAGCCAAAATTAGGCTCTTAAACTTAATTTTTCACCAATTAAGCCCAAAATAAAATTAATTTGACCCATTTAATGTATAATTAAGTCTTTGCACTTAATTAAATCCTTCAATTGGACCCAAATTAATTCTTAAACATAATTAAAATTTAATTTGGCTCATGATTAAGTCAAATTGGCTTACTAAAAATGTAATTATGTCATTGGACTCAATTTTTATGCAAATTCATTCAATAATCATTCAATTTGACCTTGAATTTGCATTTTTCTCTATTTTTGGGCATATTGGGATATATTTAAGTCTTGAATTTCCTCAAAAAAATTACAGCTTGATTTTTTCCTATTTTGTAGCCCTCCTTTATCTGCTTTCTTCATATTGTCAACCTTTATTTTATTTTTGAAAAAAAAATAATTTTTAGGGAATAACCTAGAATTGAGTTATGACACTTGGAGTTGTAATTCCTAATCGACCAGCTTATAGAAGTAATTATAAGGAGACAAAAGAGCTTCAATGACAATTTATAGGTTGATGATGAAGGGGAATATACATGAAAGTATAAACCTTTGTGTTATACCAATTTTACTTGTGCCTAAGAAGGATGGAACATAAAGGATGCGTGTTAATTGCATATATTTTGTCAACACTATAATGGTAAAGTATAAACATCATATCTCTAGGCTTGATGAAATGTTAGATAAGTTACACGAATCATGTATTTTTTCTAAAATTGATTTGAAAAGTGAGTACCATCAGATTGAGATGAAAAAAGAAGGTGGATGAAAATTTTCATTTAAGACTAAGTATGGTTTATATGAAAGGTTAGTCATGTCATTTGGACTTACAAATACACCTAGTATATTTACAAGGCTAATGAATCATATGATGTGTGTATTTATAGGTAATTTTTTTGTTGTATATTTTGATGACATCTCAACTTATATCAAGAACTTGAATGAGCTCCTTAATCAGTTATGTAATGTATTTAATGTATTGTATAATAAGAAATTATATGCTAATCTTAAAAAGTGTATCTTTTGCAAGGAGAAAATTGTGTTTCTTGGATATATTGTAATTGCACAAGGTATCGAGATGGATGAATATAAGTTTAAGGCAATTCGAGATTGGCCTACACCTAAATTTATAATTTAGGTAAGGAGTTTTCATGATTTAGCTAGCTTTTATAGATGTTTTGTGAATGATTTTAGTACTATATTTGCACCATTAACTAATAATGTGAAAAAGTCTATTAGTTTTAAATGGAGTGATGAACATAATATGGCTTTTAACTTATTAGAAGATAAATTATGTACTACTCTTATTTTAGACTTGTTAAATTTTACAAAAGCTTTCAAAATTGAATGTGATGTTTTAGGTATATAAGTATTGGAACCGTGTTAGTATAGGATAAGAGGCTCATTGTATATGTTAATGAAAAGTTTAATGAGGAAGCATTGAATTACCTAATATATAACAAGAAGATTTATTCTTTAGTAAGGATGTTGGAGATGTGGTAGCATTACCTTTAGCCCAAAGAGTTCATTATTTATTTTGATCATTTATCCTTGAAGTACTTAAAGGGCAAGGTAAATTGAGTAGGCAATATGATAAATAAAATGAATTTATTGAGACCTTTTTTTATATGATCAAATACAAGCAAGAAAAAAAAAACATTATGGCTAATGCACTTTCATGCAAGTATGTTCTTTTACCTACATTGAATGCTAGATTACTAGGATTTGAACATATAAAAGAATTGTACATGGATGGTGATTTGGCCAATATTTATGATGCTTATGAGAATTCGACCTTTGGTAAGTTTTATAGGCTTGATTGATACTTGTTTAAAGAAAATCATTTGTGTGTTCCATTAAGTTCTATACGTGAATTGCTTGTACGTGAACCACACGGAGGTGGGTTGATGGGGGCATTTCGGTGTAAGACTTTAGATTTGTTACATGAGTATTTTTACTAGCCTAAAATAAAAAAGGAACATGCAGCGTATATGTAAAAAAAGCATAACTTGTAGAAAAGAAAATTTCAGGATTCAACCATATAGCTTATATACCATTTTGCATGTACATAAAAAATATTGGGTAGACATTTCTATGGAATTTGTATTAGGTTTGCCTAGGTCCAAATAGGGCAGGGGTTTGATTTTTGTAGTTGTTGATAGATTTTTTAAATTGA